ACTGCATTTTCTCCCCCTTGGTTCAGGAACTCCCCACCTACGTCCGTGACACCACCCACGCCCCCCACCTCCTCCAAAACTTCCAATTCCCTGGTGCCCAACACCTCATCTTTACCATGGACGTCCAGTCCCTATACACCTGCATTCCCCATGCAGATGGCCTAAAGGCCCTCCGCTTCTTCCTGTCCCGCAGGCCTGACCAGTCGCCCTCCAATGACACCCTCATCCGCTTAGCCAAACTCGTCCTCACGCTCAACAACTTCTCTTTCAATTCCTCCCACTTCCTACAGACAAAAGGGGGTGGCCATGGGTACCCGCATGGGCCCAAGCTAAGCCTGCCTCTTTGTAGGATACGTGGAACAATCCCTCTTCCAAAGCTACACTGGCCCTATCCCTCACCTCTTCCTCCGTTACATCGATGACTGTATTGGCGCCGCCTCGTGCTCCCACGAGGAACTCGAACAGTTCATCCACTTCACTAACACCTTCCACCCCAACCTTAAGTTCACCTGGACCATCTCTGATACCTCTCTCTCCTTCCTGGACCTCTCTGTCTCCATCTCTGGCATCCACCTGGAAACCGATATCCATTTCGAGTCTACCGACTCCCACAGCTACCTAGAATACACCTCCTCCCACCCACCTTTCTGCAAAAAGGCCATCCCCTATTCCCAATTCCTTCGCCTCCGCTGCATCTGCTCCCGAAATGAGGCATTCCACTCCCGGACATCCCAGATGTCCTCGTTTTTTCAACGACCGCAACTTCCCCCCCTCAGTGGTCGAAAATGCCCTCGACCGTGTCTCTCATATTTCCCGCAACTCATCCCTCACACTCCCTACCCGCAATAACAACCAAAACAGAATCCCCCTCGTCCTTACGTACCACCCCACCAACCTCCGGATCCAACACATCATCCTCCGACACTTCTGCCATCTGCAATTTAACCCCACTACCAAAGATATTTTTGCCTACCCATTCTTATCTGCTTTCCGGAGGGACCACTCTCTCCAGGATTCCCTTGTCCGCTCCACACTCCCCTCCAGCCCCACCACCTCCGGCACTTTTCCCTGCAACCGCAGGAAGTGCTACACCTGCCCCTACATTTCCCCCCTCACCCCCATCCCAGGCCCTAAGAAGACCTTCCACATCAAACAGATGTTCACCTGCACATCTGCTAATGTGGTATACTGCATCCGCTGTACCCGTTGTGGCCTCCTCTACATCGGGGAAACCAAGCGGAGGCTTGGGGACCACTTTGCGGAACACCTTCGCTCAGTTCGCAACAAACAACTACACCTCCCAGTCGCGAACCATTTCAACTTCCCCTCCCACTTCTTGGACGACATGTCCATCCTGGGCCTCCTGCATTTCCACAATGATGCTACCCGAAAGCTGCAGGAACAGCATCTCATATTCCGCTTGGGAACCCTGCAGCCCAAGGGTATCAATGTGGACTTCACAAGCTTCAAAATCTCCCCTCCCCCAACCACATCCCAAAATCAGTCCAGCTCGTCCCTGCCTCCCTAACCATTCCTCCCACCTCAAGCCCCACCCCCATCTCCTACCCACTAACCTCATCCCGCCTCCTTGACCTGTCCATCCTCCCTGGACCGACCTATCCCCTCCCTAACTCCCCACCTACATTCACCTTTACTGGCTCCAACCATGCCTCTTTGATCTGTCTGTCTCCTCTCCACCTATCTTCTTCTTTATCCATCTTCTATCCGCCTCCCCCCCTCTCCCTATTTATTTCAGAACCCCCTTCCCCTCCCCCATTTCTGAAGAAGGGTCTCGACCCGAAACGTCAGCTTTCCTGCTCCTCTGATGCTGCTTGGCCTATTGTGTTCATCCAGCTCTACACCGTGTTATCTCAGATTATAATTATATGCATTTCTGTTTACATTCTCAGTTTATCTGTTTTAAATGCTATGTGCATTCAAATGCAGAGCCTTTAGTTTCATCCTTTAAGACTCTTTGTAAATTCTTGTTTTATCTGTTTTTTGACTCTTCGATTCACTCTCTATCCCTCCCTGTCATGATCTGTTTATCATTTTCCAGATGAACATCTTTCTCTTTGGCCTTGAATCTACTCTTTGATTAACCACATCTTCCTAAATTTGATCAAAATGATTCTTGCAAACCTAAAACAAAAATTCTATGCGGCATTTTTAAAAAACTGACAAGATTTTGTAACACAGCAATTCCTCAAAGCTATTCAACAATCAATAGCCTTCTCCTTTCCCTTTTAAAGCTACTTTAAGAGTGCAGGAAATATTTTGTTGTCCTTGTTTTGTCTCATGTTTTAAGACAATACTGCTCCCAGCACACTGAAATACCATGTGGAATACCTTAGGCTGTGGGTGTCTGCACATACTCTTTCTGAGGCTGCTTGTAACTTATCTTGAAGTTCTTCGACTCCTTTTGTACTGTAGCACCCCTTTATTCACATCTGTACATGGTAGGTTATCAAATACAGTTCTTGAGTGTAATGCCTAAAAACTCACTCTTCGCATACTAATTCTAGACAAGTCTTTTCTTTTATTGATGCCGGGGTCGCGTGATCAGTTAGATTTTATTGAATTGCATGAATCTCATCCTATCATAGACCCGACGCTCTATACAGAGAATGGTAATTCCTCCCTTCCCTCTCCTTCTCCCATTCACCAGGAAAACCACCAAAAAATGAGCTCCTTCATTTTACAGTTAAATCAAAAACCAACAATAGCATTGCTATAAACATTCGCAATCTTTACATGATATTCATATTGAATTTCTTTATCATTTCATAGTACACATATGATTTCAATACATCATTTTATGCTATCCTGCAAAAACAAAAGACTATACTTCTGACAAAAACAAATATTGACATCAAAAGCACAATGTTGGTCAAGTGTGCTGTAGTGAGGTTCTATTATTTGAAGTGCAAGTTGTAGCTATATTGTCCATCTTCCGCCTTCATTATGCATTAACCCAATTGCACATTCTGAAAAGGATTCTTCAGAAAGAAGGTGAGGATGTGGCGTTGGAAGTAAGAGAGAAGGAGAGGGGAAGGGAAGGAAAGAAGGGAATATCGCATTTGCTCAGCAAGCAGAAATTACAGGTATCCCTCTAAAAGGCATATTTCATTGCTTGCCATCAATTGATGAATAGATCATTTATTCAAAGATGAAAGCTTATTACGAATAGAAAACAATCTAACTTAATTTTATTCATTTCTTGTAATGCTAAAGTACAGCAACAGTTTAAATCTCGAAAAAAATCCAACCACCTATGATGAGCAACATTAGCAGTCTCCAGGCAATTATCTGCATAAAATGTATAAAACCCATCTGTGCAGCCTGTCGAGCTCTGGGTCCTTGTGACATATGTTCAGAGCAGCAATGTGTAGAAATGGGTCGAGAGTTCATGAAACTTGCTCCAAGGAAATCAGAATGCATTTTGCATAATTTAATCAACTTTCAAAAACAAATTGGAGTAGACTCGCAGCTCTTTGTATGTATTGAAAAACTTACTGATTAAAAAGTCTTAACTTTTCCTTTACCTCATTCTAACTTAAATAACTTAGAGGGCAGCTGTTACATATCATGTCAGAACAGTGGTGCATTCTGGAGAAGGCATTAGATATGTTTTGGAGTTTATATCTGGCCTAAGGAACTGAGGGCATTCTTGCTAAGTTTACAGACGACATAAAGATAAGTGGAAGGACAGGTAGTCACAAGGAAGCAGGGAAGCTGCAGAAGGACTTGGACATGCAAGGAGAGTGTATTCCATCTGCAACTTCTTTGCACAATGTGGCATTTTAGTAGGAAGAATAGAGGCATTAACTATTTTCTAAACAGGGAAAGGCTTTGGAAATCTCAAGCACAAAGGGATTTAGGAGTCCGAGCTCAGGCTTCTCTTAAGGTTAGCATGTGGGATCAGTTGGCAGTTAGGAAGACAAATGCAATGTTGGCATTAATTTCAAAAGGACTAGAATACAACAGGAGGTGTGCTGCTGAGGCTGTATAAGGCCCTGGTCAGGCTAAATCATATCTGAAATGGAATTCTGAGTTAGGAACAAGAGGCAACTCTCTAAGATCATTTTAAGGAACAATTAGATGTAGTGATGGGGGTGCTATATTTGGTTTTATTCTAGATGCATTGGCTACATAATATTCCTTTTCCACATTTATTTTGTAGTAAGAGAAACCTGGGATAAAGATAGTGCCATCACATTACTGGTACTGTGACAGCTTTAAGGTGCACCAGCCAATTACTGCAACGCTCACTTTAATCCACAGAGCATAGCGGCTAACACATCTATGATTACTGCTGACTACACAACAAAAAATCAGGTAATAAATGTGCACATCACATACTACACTATTGCAACTGATACTAATAGCATCATGCACTGTTGTCCACCAACACACCAAATATACAGGGCAGTAATAGAAATATTTGCGTATTGTATGATGTACATCATGTAATCAACACATACACAGATAAACACGTAATAATAGAGTACCAATAATGGGAACTGCAGAAGATGAGTTACTTTCAGTTGCTTTAATTGTTAAATCCGACATTCAGTGAGCAACGTCATGGGTTTAAACAGATCGTTATGATTCGGAAGACACCTTTAGTTGTCAAAAGGCTCTGACATGATTGGACAACTTTGAAAGGCTGAAGAAAGGAATTTGATGCTACAGTCTCTAAGATACAATCTGGAAGAGCAATGTTCATTCCCAACTTCCTGTTCAAAAACTAAAGACTTTTCTCCTGGTTAACAAATATGTAAATTTTCCGTTTGTACATGGTCAAATATGCATGTGTATCAACCTGAGAACGAAAATAAGTTACAATTTGGTCATAACATTCTCTTTGATTTTATGTGCCCATAAAAAACATACTCAAAGGTTGCAGAAGTCCCACCACACTACATTTCAATGTCTCAATGTTGCATCAAGAAGATGAAAGATTAGCATGACAGCGATACTGCAATGAGACACCTTACCTTGCCACAAGCGACCAGTGAAAGTGCTAATTGATACCACAGGTGAAATTCATCGAATGCAAACTTCATTGCTCTCTCCAAGCACTGAGGAAAGAAATATTTCAAGATGAGATGATAAATAAGCTAATAAAAGGAAGTTGATAACAAGAACACTATAATTCCTACTCGATCGATCTACATCACCAGTGGAAATTTGGGCCAGAAGTTCTAGGCTCAAGTCTTACCTTCTCTAGAGGTGCATCATAACATAAGACCACTAGACACAGGAGCAGAAATAAGCTATCCAGCCCATTAAGTCTGCTCCACCATGCAATGAGATCACGGCTGATTCTCAATTCCACTTTCCTCTCTTTTCCCCAAAACCCTTTATTCCATTATTGATTAAAAATCCCTCTCTTGGTCTTGAATATACTTAATGACTCAACAGCCCTCTATGTGCCTTCCCCATTACCCATTGGATGCTGGCTCTTTGTGAGTCCTGCCTGAACAGGTTGATTAAAAATGTCTATTCTGATATTCGGTTATTAGGACCACCAGGATCCCAAAATATTCACCAAACATTACGTCATTTTCATGGCACTTGTTTTGAGATAAAATTTGCGACAATCCAACAGAATCAACAGATTCACTACCTTCCGAGAGCAGAAATTCCTCATCTGTTTTAAATATACAACCCTTTATTCTGAGATTATGCCCTTTGGTTCGCATCTACCCTGTCATGTTCCTGAAGAAACTTGTATATTTCAATAAGCTCATCTTTCATTCTACTATATTTCAACAAGTACAGGCGCAATCTACTCAACCTGTCCTCATAAGACAGTTTGTCCATACTTGGCAAAGCCAAAAGTACCTTCTCTGTACTGACTCCAATGTCAGTATATCTTTCTTTAGAGAAGGGCCCTAAAACCGCATATTGTATCTAAGATGTGGTCTGACCACTGTCTTGTACAGTTTTAGCAAAGCCTTCCTGCTTTTATACTCCACTCCCTTTGAAATAAAGTTCAATATTCTATTTGCATTCCTAATTACCCATTGGATGCTAGCTTTTTGTGAGTCCTGTCTGAACAGGTTGCATAAAATTAAAATTTGTGACAGTCCAACAATGTAAAGGTTGCTGTTTGTTTCACATTATAATTATGCCATCTAGTGAGAGCTTATGCATTAGTGAACAGAGAGTTGGAGCTATGAAGTAAATACAGCCTTCTAAAAGCTATTTATCTCCACGCGTCCGTGTTGGTGTTTATGCTTCAAATGAACTGAAAATCATAAAATTGTCCTCTGTGACTTTTGTCAGGAAGAGTACTAAATTCAACAAGGCATTTATACATAACCCTGGGTAGAAGCTCTATGTTTTACTGGCAAATGAGGACAGGATCAGTCATTCATGATGTAGTACATAGCCTTACAACACTTATTAACTTTGCTCATGCACAGAGTATGTCCAAGACAAGGCACTAGTGTGCATTTTAGGAAGGAACAAAGGAAAACATTATCATGGGGGCAGGGTTCAGGAGAAAACATCTTCCTATCATTTACTGCATTTAGCACTTAATTACCTCAGGTAATTCTCATACCTCAGAGAGAAATCACCTTGGATTTCAACTTAGGCTCAAATATACACTTCTGGGTCAGTTGTACAGCTGCGAACTTAACTCAGAAGAAACTCTCCCTAACTACTGAATTATCATTTCAGATAGGTCGGTGTATTCTGGACTCATGCCTGCTGTCCCCAAAAAAGTGTGCGCCAAGGTAGAATGTTTAAAAGGCCTGATCAGTGTTTTAGGTCTTTGTACTAGTTATAACAAAAATATTAAGGTCTTCTAGCCCTCACTCCCCATGTCCCATTCATGCAAACTGGTAGCATGTCATGTCACTGTATCCAGTTCCTACGGCTCCTATTACCATCCACGCCAACCTATGCACCTATATTCATCCTTCCCCATGGCCCATCAAAGCCTCCATGTCAACCTACATTCTTCTAACCAGCACTCCTAAGTTCTTTAAAATCCCTATGCTAATTTAATGCCAAACCAGCCCAGTATCTACCATAGATAGTAGGAACTGCAGATGCTGGAGAATCCGAGACAACAAGGTGCAGAGCTGGATGAACACAGCAGGCTAAGCAGCATCATAGGAGCAGAAAGGCTGACGTTTCGGGCCTAGACCCTTCATCAGAAATGGGGGAGGGGAAGGGGGTTCTGAAATAAATAGGGAGAGAGGGGGAGGCGGATAGAAGATGGATAGAGGAGAAGATAGGTGGAGAGGAAACAGACAGGTCGAAGAGGCGGGGATGGAGCCAGTAAAGGTGTGTAGGTGGGGAGTTAGGGAGGGGATAGGTCAGTCCAGGGAGGACGGACAGGTCAAGGGGGCGGGATGAGGTTAGTAGGTAGGAGATGGGG